CCCCAGCCCCGCCTCACCCCCCCACATACACACTCACACACGCCCTAGGTTCCTGGCGGAGTATGACAGGGCGGTGCAGGGCCCCTGGAAGTACCGGCGCGCCAGTGAGTTCCTCGTCAACACCTGCATTGTGGGCATCAAGGACCTGGTGGGACGCATCCTGCAGGACAGGGACGCGGCACAGAAGAGGGCCGCGGACGCAGAGGCACGGGTGGGGCAGGTGCGGCCTGGGAATGGGGCGTGCGCCTCGGGGCGGGCGGGAGTGCGCCTGGAAGATCAGCCTTTTCACTCAGGACGGCCAACAGTATGGTATGCCACTTCGATGTTGAGCCTCTCTTGGCGTCAACGCCCTGACACACCCGCCACCCACGGCCGGTCCGCTGTCAACAAGTAGCTGCGTGCCGAGGCCGGGCGTGCGGGCGAGGCGGAGGCGCGCGCCGCCAGCGTCCAGCGCGACCTGGTGGCGGCCCGGGAGGGCCTGGCGCGCGCCCAGGGTCAGCTGGCCGCCAAGACCAGCGCGCTGGCGGACTCTCAGGCTGAGGTGGCGCGGCTGGCAGCGCAGGTGGGGGGGGCCCAGGGGAGACTCGAGGAGTAGGACGGAGCCAGCTTAGCCGGCGCTTGCGATGAATCTGCTTGTGCCCGCGTGCTGCATGTCATCCACGCGGGCCTCCTCAATGACGTCGTCACTGACGTCCGGCAAACCCACCCCTGGGCCGCAGGTGAGCGGCGCTGGCTCCAGGGAGCGCCAGCTGCAGGGCGAGGCGGCCGCAGCTCGCGCAGAGGTGACGCGGCTCAAGGCAGAGCTGGGCGGTGCACAGCGCGCAGAGGCAGAGAGTGTGCAGCTGCGCTCTCAGCTGGCGGCGGCGCAGGCAGAAGTGGCGACGGCGCGTGCAGAGGCGGACCGCGCGCGCGTGGATGCGCAGGGCGCAGAGGCGCGCGTGGCACAGCTGCAGTCGCAGCTGGGGGCGGCCGAGGCGGCGGGGCGCGACGCCGCTGCGCTGAGGTCCCAGCTGGCTGACGCGCAGCGCGCTGCGGACGAGGCGCGGCTGGCGGTGTCGAGGACTGCCGGCGAGAAGGACGAGGAGCGGGCCGTGGCGAACCGCACGCTGCGGGTGGGCGGTCTGGTGATGCAGCCCTGCAGGGCCAAGACAAGGGGCTGGCGAGCCCTGTTTTGGACGGCCGCGCGGCCCTCAACTGCGGCGAATGTCACACCCTGCGGTCGGCGTGGCCAACCCCTGCATTCAACTGATCCACCAGCATGCCCGTCATTTGCTGGGCGTGGTGCCGGGACTGGTTCCCGTGCTGTGTAGTACATCGCCCTCACCCAGCGCACCGCCCCTGTCCCCCCAGGAGGTGGGTGAGCTGCAGGCCCAGCTGCTGCGGGAGAGGGAGAGGCACGACACAACCAAGGAGCAGCTCAGGGAGGCGCAGCAGCAGCTGCAGCTGCAGCAGGCGCGGCAGGGGCAGGGGCAAGCGGATCAGCTCACCACGCCCGTGACGAGGGCCGGCCGCAGCGAGGGCCGGACGCCCACTGTGGACGCGGCCGCCAACGGCGGCGCTCCGGCGCCTCCACCGACCACTGGTGCGCGTGCCGCCAAGCGCGGCGCGCGGAGGCCGCAGATGATGATGGCGGCGGCGTGCAGCAGCGCGTGGCGCCGGCAGGCCAGGCCACGCCCACCAGCGGCAGCCGTCCGCGGCAGCGGCAGCGCCGGCAGTCGGCCGTGCCAGAGCCCATGGAGGGCGTGGAGGCCGCCGGCGGCCGCAGCCGCACGCCCACGCCCCCGCCGCGCAGCGGGCGCCGCAGCGCGCTGCCCACGACCCCCGGCTCCACCTCAACGGGCGGCGCCGCGGGCGGCACGCCGGTGGTGCTGCCGGGCGACCTCGCCGCGGCGCGCGCGGCGCTGCCCGCCAGCGTGGACTCTTTGAGCATCGGGCAGATCAAGGCGTGGTTCACGGAGCACCGCTTGGAGGACGAGGAATTCATGGCGCTGGCGGCGGGGCGCGCCAAGAAGGGTGACTGGGTGGCCCTTGCCAAGCGGCGCGCGGGGCTGTGAAGCGGGGCGCTGCCACGTTCAGGAATGCTACAGGCCGCCCAGGTTGCAACTATGATGGATGCCGCTGTCATGTTGTAAGTACAGCACCTTGAGGGCATGAGCCGACACTGTGAAGACCTCTTTTATTCGACGGGGTGACACCATGGGGGGGGGAGTGTTACATCGCGGCGGCGGGTGACATTGGGTGACGCGTTCCTGGCGAGCCAATGGGTGACAGTTCAGGGGCTGCAGCGTGGGGTGGGGCTGGAGTGGTGGAGGCCGGGTGTGGTGCTTGTGAGGTCACGTACGCCCTTTTGATATGCTGATGTAGCTCCTGGTTTGACTTGCTGCGACAAGTGGCACGTCTGTCGTTTTGTCCTGCCAGTCACTCTTGGATGTCATGTGGATGCAGGTCAGGTGTGGCCACAGTCCCGAAACGTACGCATCCAGTTTGGCGGGAAAGTCAAAGTGGTGTTAATACAATTCACACACCACCGGCGTGTAGGCAAGGCCTGGCATCCCCGTCCTGGCATGCCTGAAATGACTGGGGCCTGCGGCCTTGCCAGGGGAGATGCGTGCAGGAAGGTGCGGAGCATGCAAGTATCCAGGGTGGGAGAACTTAGAACCAATGCCACTCAACTCCATTCAAGGCAAGGCTCGGTCATTGGACGTGCATTCTCAAACATCGTTGTGCACTGGCTGGGTTGGGTGATGCTCAGGACATTCAGCTGCTTACCATACACCATAGATTATTGCTGCATACATTGGGTGCAGCTGCACTATGGTGAGAATACTGTACAGGGGAACCGTTGCTGACCATTGGTCTTACCTTTTGTCGTCACCCCCGCGTGCCCACACAGTCATAGTAGCAGCTGCTCGTCTGCCCTGAAGGTGTGCCGGCATAACAGGAAGCCGGTTGTTGTAGGATGCCAGCATGTGCCGTAAAGCTTTCCTGAATCTACCGTGCTTGGCCGTTCGCGTCATTGTTGATCACCGGGCAGGTGTTCGAAAACTGCGGCAAGGCAGCACCTTACTGACGCATCGTGGTGTTCTGTGGTGTAAGTCAAATGTTTCATTATTAATTAGCAGCTGCAAACAGCAGTACCAAGAGGAATAGCACCACTGATCGCGCAGGGGTGTGTGTGCGGCGCTCCGCCAGCGCACACAGCCGCAGCAGCCTTGCTGCGTGCTGCTGTGAAGGTCATGCCTACGCTGGAGGTCTTTAGCCAGCAGCAGATTCCCCAATCTAGCTCTGGACGCTCATAAAAGGGGGCATGGCTACATATCGGGGGCTCGTCACTTGCTGCATATGCTTTGGCTGCAAGGATACGCCCTGGGCAGCGCTCGAGTGTGGCCACGTATTCCATGGCGCGTGAGTTGCTGACCGCGGGGCGAGGGTGCTCAGCATGCAGAGCTTCAGCTGGTTGTGGCCCTGAGTTTCCATGCATTCCTGCCAAACGGCTGCGGCGGCGCCTGTGGCGCTGGTGTCCTGTCAACCCGACAGCCAACATCACGCCTGCCCGCCCCCCACTCTCTGACACACCGCGATGCAGCTGCGTCTCCGAATGGCTCCGGCTCCACAAGCCCTCGGCCTGCCCCATGTGCCGCGCCCGTTCACGCGCCCCGCGTGTGCTGGTGGGCATCGAGTCCCAGCTGGAGGCGGGGGACGAGCGCGCGGTGGCGGCGCACCTGGTGGAGCGCGAGGAGGAGCTGCGGCAGCTGCAGCAGGAGTGCGCCGCCAGGGAGGCGGCCTGCGAGGTCAGGGCGGCCGCAGCGGCAGACCAGGCGGAGGCGGCAGCCCAGAGGGCGGAGACGGCAGAGGCCGCAGCACAGCGCGCAGAGAGGGCGTTGGCCAAGGCCTCGGCCAAGCTGGGGGCCGCCGTGCAGCAGTGAGCCTTTTTTTGGGGGGGGGGGGCGGGTGCGGCCGCAGATTGACATGCGCGCATTGTTGGGAATAGTGCAATTCTTAAAGGTGATACAGTTCGCAGATTCAAACCCATGTGAGAGTAGTGAGTGGTCTCCCGAGCGACCCCCATCACCCCTCGCCCCCAACAAGTCTCCTGCGTGCCCCGCCTGCCGACCACTGCGCCCAGGAACGAGGCCCTGATGACTCACCTGTCGGAGGCGTCTGGCCGCGAGCTGGTGCTGCGCCAGGAGCTGAGTGTGGCCCAGGACAAGGCCGCGACAGAGGCCTTCCGCCTGCGCACGCGCCTCAAGGAGGCGGAGTTCCGGCTGCAGGAAGCGCGGCGGCGGCTGGCGGCGCTGCAGCTGAGCAGCAAGGGGCTCACGCTGGACCAGGCCCAGAGCATCCTGCAGGGAGAGGACGTGCGTACCCTGTGGCTCGAGAGCAGGGGGGGGCCGCTTGGGCCCCAGGATCAAGTCAGGGCGAGACGGCTTTAGGACGGCTAGCGCTGCACCTGCGCGGCTGGCAGCCGACGCACCGCCCTGCAGAGCCATCGGCAGCCCTGAGCTCTCCTGATGCCCCAGTGCCGCGCCGCGCCCCCCCTCGCTCCCTCAGAACCCCGTGGCCCAGGTTCTGGTGACGCGCAACGCTGAGCTGGCGCTGGCGGAGCGCCGCCTGGAGGAGGCCGGGGCCCAGGTGCAGGCGGCCCGGGACGAGGGGGCGCGCAAGCTGGAGGCGCTGGAGCGGCGCCACCGGTGCGAGCTGGCGAAGCAGGCTGAGGAGCGGGAGCGGCTGAGGCGGCGCGAGCTCCAGCTTGAGGTGTGTGAGGGGGGGGGCATCGCCGTGTATGCGTGCCTGGGAGGGCGGATGGTTGGGTGCAGGAGGGAAGCGCGCGCGTGTGGGTTGGTGCTGGTGTGTTTGGATATGAGTGGGTGGGGGTATTGTTTATTTGAATCAGTGTGTATGGGTGCGATTGGGTGCAGGATTGCTAGTGCTGCTATAAATGTTGCACTTGGCTGTTTGACATGGCGCAACGAAAAATTCAAGAGGGAAACTGATGAGGTTGTGCTCCGCACATCCAGGATCCTGCCCAGTCAGTTGCAGCCCCCAACCCACCCATCGCCACAACCCTCTGTGTGCAGTATGAGCGGGACAGCGCTTTGCGTCGGACCCAGGAGCTCGAGTCGGTGCTGCTGGCGCTGGAGGGCGGTGAACCAGGTCGCCAGGGTGCCGCGGGAAGACAAGGCTTTACGGCTGGCGCTGCAGGCAGCATTTCCGGCCACCAACGGCAGCCGGGCCCCGTGGCCCGTGCAGGCGCAACCACCTCTGGGGCTGGGGCGTTGGAGCCGTGCCTGCAGGGGAGCTGGTCAATCGCCAGCAGCACTGGCGCGCCTGTCAGCAGCAACCACACTGCAGCCATGGCCGACCACGGCCCTCAGCAGCAGCAGCATCAGCAGCAGCAGCCTGACGCAGAGGAGCATGCAGCAGCTTATCAGGCGTCAGACGGTGATGGCCTGCCGGAGGTTGAGGAGCAGCTGGCGCCCAGCCCGCAGCTGCGGCCCGTCACCTTCCTGCAGGCAGGGCCTGGGCCCGGCGCCGGCAGCGAGGCGCCCTCCTTCCTGGGCCTCGGCAGGGTGAGCCGCCGTGGTGGCTTGAGTGCGGCAACAACCGCTGCACGATGTCCGCACAGCAGCCTCAATGGTGGTCACAACATGCATCTGCCTGTGCTGCTCTCAAACGCTGTGCACGCTCAACGCCGCCTCACCATGCAGCCTGGCGTCGTGTCTGGCTGGGCCGGCGGGGCCGAGGGGGCCCTCGTGCGGCAGGGCCCTGACGGGCGCGGCGGTCAGGTGCGCCACCTGGCGACCATCACCAACACTGCAGCACTTGGGGGCAAGCGGCCAGGTGCCTTGCTACCTGGCTCTGCACCTGCGTCCAAGCAGCGCAAGCAGGTGGCGGACCAGGTGCGGGCAGGGCCAGGTGGCGCAAAGCAGCTGAAGCTGTCCTCCTTTTTTGGAGGCGGCGGCTCCAAGGCGGTGCGGTGAGGGAGTTTGGTGCAGGTTTGAGTGTCTTCTTTGTATGTCATCACGTCCAGCAGCTGGGTTACACAAAAGCGGCGCTGCAGCCGCTGGCACTCCTTGCACGCAGCGTAGCACATCCTTCAATGCAGAGCCTGCTGGGCGCTCGCATGCATGGCGCATTCCTTTCTCGATTGCAAGCGCTGGGGCAGCCGTAATGCTATTGATCCACGTGAAAATCAGCCCCTGATTGCGGGCTGCCACATCAACTGATTGTCAAATTGCAAGTGACTTTTGGGCTGCTGCCATCTGCGGGAGGGGCGGCCTCTCTTGGCACCCAAAGCAAGTGTGGAGCAGGACTGCAAACATCAAACCTCAACAGCGACACAGGCGAATGCAAACAAAGCAGGACGCCCAGCTGCCGAATGCGACATGGGCGCTGGTGCAAACAGTCGAGCTTAGGGATACGCGGGCGGTGCTGCAGGTCATTGGCGCCTGTCACAGCGCCTCCAGGAAGAGCGCGGTGTCTGTCGTGATGCCGGCATCACCAAAGCTGCTGCTGCCCTGCGCCTCCTCGTACACGCGCCGCGGAAACTGGGTCACCAGCCGGTAGCTGCCGGGACGCCGCGCGCCCTCGCGGGGCTCGGCCGCACCGCCGCCGCCGCTGTCGCTGCCGCCGTCGCCGCAGCTGCGCAGGTCGATGAAATCAAACGCGGCGCTCAGGGGGTCTGACAGCCGGAAGCGCCGCCCGAACCGCGCGCCATCTGGCAGCCGCACCACCACCTGGATTGTACCCGCCTCTCCTGCCGGCGGCTCCGGCGGGAGGGCGGCCGCCTTTGAGGCCAGCAGCTGCCGCAGCCGCTGCGCCGCGTCCTCCAGGCGCGCCGCCTCGGCAGCCTCTGCCGCCGCCGCCGCTGCGGCCGCGTCCTCCTCCTGCCGCTGCGCCTCGCGCAGGGACTCCTGCTTGGCCCTGGGCACGGGGTCGGGCGCAGGGTGCAGCAGCAACCGCCCCCAGACTCAATCAGCAGGGGGATGCGTGCCGCAGACTTGCCCGACATACACGAGCCCCCGGCCCCAACACCGGCCGCCACACGCCCCGTGAGCATCCCCACCCCCCATCCGCCTTCACACCTGTCTGCCGCCAGCGACTCCTCAAACAGCTCGTCCTGCTCTGCCCTGAGGGCGCGCTGCGCGGCCGCCTCCGGGTCCACGGGTGCTGCGGGGCCCGCGCGCGCGCTGGGGATGCGGCCAGTGTAGGGCACGCCCAGCATGGCGGCCTCAAGCATGCGCGCCTCCTCCATGTCGATACCGTCCGGCACGTCGAAACTCGCGTCAACCCCGTCCCCCTGCCCACCAACGGCGGCCGCCCACGACCCCTCTCCCAGCGCCGCGCCCGCCACGCCGCTGGGCTCGGGTCCAAAGCGGCCGCCGCAGGGGCCCCCGCCCAAAGGGATGCCGCCAAAGGCGCCAAACGCGTCGCCGCTGCCGCTGGGACCACCGGCCGCGCGCCTGATGGCGGAGCGGCCTTGCGGGTGCGAGGGATTGCAGGCGTACGAGAGTGGTGGGGTGGTGAAAGGCAGCCGGCAGAACGACAGTGTTATCTGAACACGGGACAGCATGGCATGGCGCCACGCGTCGGGGCTGGAACTCCTGGCCCCACCGCGCGCGCCCTCACCCGCGACGGCGAGGTCTGGCGGGATGCCTGCTCCCAGCAACGCCCTCTCAGCCAGCTCCAGCTCCTCTGCAAATGCGGATGGTGGCCAAGGTGGGACCAGCGCAGCAGAGAGCCGCCTTAAGCGGCCCCCGCAGCCCTGCTTGATTGACAGGGCGCCTGCACAGGCGCTGGTAGCGCACAGCATCCGCAACGCAATCAGTTGCCCAGCTGGTGCCCTTTCTCCTCCCCCCGCCTCACCCTCCTCCCGCCGCCTGGTGGCCTCCCGCTGCGCCTCCACCGCCGCCGCCCTGCGCCGCGCCAGGCTCCTGAGCGCCGCGTCCTCGTCATCGCCCTCCTCATCGCCGCCCCCTGCCGCCCCCTCGGGGTCCTCGTAGTCGTCGTCGTCAGGGATCTGCGGGGCCATGGGAGGAGGGTCGCAGGGGGACTGTGCGCCATGTCGAGGGCGCCCAGGACGACTTGCTGAAGAGAATGGGCCTGAGTTGGGGGCTTCGGCATAGAACGCAACAGCCGTGAGCAAGGCCTAGGGGGATGGGCGGGTTCAGCTGCACCCCCGCCCAGGGCGTTGCTGACCTCGATCACGTCGGCGGTCCGCGCCCCGGGGGGTGGGCCTGACGGGGCGAGGGGTGAGCCGGGAAGTTGAAGGTGAGAGGTCCCGCGGTGGTGCGGGTGCTGCTGCATGATCAGCGATGCAGCTCTCGGATGCGCACACGGCATCCGACTTGCGTGGGGCGACGCCAGCGTGCAGCCGCGTAGCTCTGTTGGCGCGCAGCCATGACATATGGCCCCAACCTGCCGGTGCCTTGCGGCGCCGCACCTTGCTGCTGCTGCTGCTGCTGCTCCTCCGGCTCCTGCTGCTGCTCCCGCATGGATGCCACCACTGCGCGCCGCATCTCGTCATCCATCCCCTCCAAGGCGGGCAGCTGTTCGCCGCCAAAGGCGCCCTCCCCATCGCCCTCGGGAGGGTGTGACAGAAAGAAATCGACCGCCTGGATGCGATTCAAAAATATGGGGGAGACCAGGCCGATGAAAGGATTGGGTCCCGCGAGCTACCAAAGCGAACGGCTTGCTTGAAGGGCGATGGTGCATGCGGCAGCGATGCAGCAGCACCAGCCAGACATGTGAGCGCTGTCAGCGCCGTGGGCTCCCTCGGACTCACCGTATTGAGGTCCCAGCCGTGTGCACCCAAATAACTCTCTGCTACGTGTTCCTGAGACCCCGTGACAGCCATAAAATCCTGGATAACCTCATCTGCGTGATCTGGACGCTCTCCGTCGATGTCCATGACGTCAAAAGCCTCAAAATCTGCGTAGCATACTCGTGTGATGCGGATTAACGACTGGTCAAGGTGTGCTGTGACGCTGTTGTCGTCGATAGCGCATGGAAGCTGCTGCTGCAGAACCAGGCGCCTCCATCTTGGCCAAAAGCGTCCGCGCCACAGTGCTACCGAGACTGCCGCGCTTCCATCCTGGCTTCAAAATGGCTAGTGGCATGATTCGCAGGGTCGAAGTTTCCCACTGCTGCTAGCTGCCGCACGTCCAAAACCGCGTCGGCCCACTCAGCAGCGCTTATGCCAGCGTTGCAGGCTAATGGGCCTGCTGTCGCGTGCGCCTACGTTTTCTCACGCAGTTCCTCAGATTTATATTACGTGCGTGAACGCGTTGTCCAGCTGAACCCCAAAACAGCTACTGGCGATGGCTCGCCACCCTGATTGCAGTCTAGCTAACAGCTCGTTAGGCTGTTGCGACCCCCTTGACAACCCTGGCCCCGCAGCCAGCAGGACCTGCTGGCTCCAATGCCTGTCGCCGAAAGTCTAGTCTACCGCATCCCTCTTACCAGCCCTCCACTTGTGCATGGGAAGTACGCGCGGTGGAATGCCGCCAAGGCTGATGAGCGCCATATTTGGGGCCCACGACGTGTCAGTCATGTATATACAACTATGTATACATGTTACATGTATACATAGTACGTATATGTGAACATATGTCACAAATGTGTACTACATGTCTGGATGTACGTGTATGTGTAGTGCACGCCAGGGGGAGCCTGGTCATCGCCGGCATGTTCATATGTGTTCAATTAACCAAGTCACACAGTGCCGTGTGCAAGTCAGAGGGTGTCGACCCTACCGATGGCAGCGGTGTCACTACAACCTGAAATCTGCGATGCGTGCAACCCTGTCAGCCACAGCGTTGGCTTGGGGCAGAGCACGGGTGATGGAGCTAGCGTGTGACACATGGGCAAGTCTTGAGCGAGATTCATAGATTTCCCTGGCCTCCTAGATCTTGACGTTGTTTTGCAGACTGCATACTGTGATTGCGCCCTTGCATCCTTGTTGCACCTGGTCCGTGGCCAACCCTGAACCCAGCCCTTGAACGTACCTGCCATTTGCTGCTGTCCAGAAAAAACCTCACGGGGGATACAACGACTCAGCCTTTTTGGGCCAGTGAAGCGACCATACCCTTCCATTTTCAGAGCGCCATACCACCCAGCCCAGCCTACAGACTATCAAGGAACTCAACGTACCCTGGCACCAATTTACTCATTTTCCTGCATGTTGCTGAATCGCCCGAAATCGACCTGCGCAATAAAACTATCAAATTAACGTGCAATACTGAAGACCAGCAGTATTGAGGACAGCAAAATGCCCGTTGCTGCTGACCCCATTGTTGCCGGACTGCAACTGTGACAGTGCAATGCACAGTCCTGCGGTTAAGAAACAGTCATGCAAGCCTAACCAAGGCGATTGCAGCATTTGGGCTTGCAAGCACAATCGCCCGGCAGATATGGGATGAGGCACAGGCCGTTCATGCAGTGTTGACGTGAACAGCGGCAAGCAACCAAGTGTTGCTTGGGCCCTGCCAAACAAGAGCAGGCGGGCACTTGGGGCATGTAATACAACATGGTCGTGGCAGTGGCACGAGCAGCACGCTCCAAAGCATAATGTAGACGCCTCTGCCGATTGCTGACTGGCAGCTGCTCACATGGTCTAAGGGCCATGCATAGACGGTATTGATGTTGGGCACGCCATACGTCGGTACCCCACAGGGGGGCAGCGTGGTGGTCACACGGCCATGCAGCATGTGCCAGATGCCATGGTTGGCATGAACATGCGTCTGTTCGTGTGATGAGTCTTGAAGTTGGGTGGTGAAGCTGACATGACATTGCAATCCTTGTTGATGTGCTCAACTCTCATTCCCATGAAGCACAAGGCACGAATGCCTGGGGGTGCCAGGGCAACACACACCTGACATGGCAACAGTGTGGCCGAGGGGTGTGACGAGTGCCCCTGTATAAAAGCTCGTGTTTTCACAGGCAGGAGATGCTGGGCTCAGCACGCTGTCATCACTGACTTGCAGGGAAGGCAGGGGTACGCATCATGCCTTGGGCCACCCCATCTGCTTCGCCCATGTACGCGCGTCATCCTGCCCCGCCTGGTACATCTGCAGGATCACTTCCTTTGGGGGCGGGGTCTGCGTCAACCGGGAAAATTAAGGAGAGGGAGGGGTGAGTAGGGGGGTGGGGACGGTGCCCGTGAGCAGAGAGTGGCGTGAGCTCTGCGTTGGTGTGAGGTTAGACTCCATTTTGCATGTCTGTGTGGCATGGGCGCAAGATCAAGCCACTTAGATATGCACGGCGTGCCACTGGCCAGGGATGCATGCGCGCACAGCTCACGCCACAGGCAGCGCACCAGCATGTAGAGGGCCCACTGAGTCTGAGTCAGCGGGGACCTGTATATCGCGCATGTGTGGTGGGAAGAGGATGGTGATGGAGCAGTGAACACACTGGATATGATGAGTGGAACACGAGGCCACTTTATCAGAAAGATTCGCTTGCGCGCTTGTCAACCTCTCGTTGAAGTCCTGGCTGCTCTGTGTTTGCTCTCTGCAGCAGCTTTCAACCCAACCTGGGCCCAACTCCATAAACTCAACCTGGGCCCAACTCCATAAAGTCAACCTGGGCCCAACCCCTTGTCGCCCTGGCGCACCTGCCAAACTTCCCGGGGTATATGTCGAACAGCCCCGGCCGCTGGATGGTGGCAAACACCTTGAACCATGTCTGCAAGCCCTGCAAGGACGAGGGAGCCGGCGGGGAGACAGGCACCAGCCCTGTCAGCGCCGGCCCCTGTGAGTGCCAGCGCGCCACTCTGATTGCGCTGCCGCACGCCATGCATGGACCGCCCGTGCCTTGTTTGGCATGATGAACTCGAGCAACCCACGACGATGACGGTGTGTGTCGTCACGCACCATGGTCCCGACAAGGTCCTCGTTGACTGCGCGCTGAAGGCTCTGGAGCGGCTGCGCCCCCAGGATGTTGCTGACCGTGGACCCCAGGAGGTTGAGTGTCGGAAGCAACTCCCCACCCGCCAGGCTTGAGATCGCCCGTCCTGTGTCCCAGACGGGCAGGCCAGAAACCTGACAGCGTTTACAAAAATGGCAGCGAGGATTGTGGGGGTTGGACGTGGTGCTGCAAGTGGGCCGATGGCCAAGGGTGGGGTGCGACACCTTGGCCATGGCCGTTGTTTCTGAGAGTGGGAAGATGGGGACCAACGTGCCTAGCATGCATGGGAGACTGTCCCTGCGCCAGTAGTAGAGCTGATTGTCAATCATGGCTTGCATATTAGGGAGAACGCAGCTGCACAAAATTGGAAGCCCACCCCCCACCTTGATGCAGAAGGTGACCCCTGGCGGGCAGGGGATGTACTGCGAGAATGCTCCATCAAAGGCTGGCTGGCCTCGGAACATGATGGAGCTTGCCTTGCCGGACCAGCCCGGGACGTAGCTACTCGCACGAATGGCCTGGAGCAGCTGCACAGGGCAGGTAGAACAGCAGAAGAAGGGTCATTTCAACCACCAGGACACTGCGGCTGCACACAGAGCGACTGAAGCACACTCTGATTGCCCCTGGGCCAACCAAGACCCCTGGCTCAGCCCATGCTCACGTCGTCGACGTCCTTGAACTGGCAGACCCCCTCTGCCCTTGCCTCGCTGAGGTTTCCGCGCGAAACCACAACGCAGCCCTTGCCTGCCAGGGGAGCGGGGCGGGGTGAGGGCCGACCAGTGGTGCCAGGCCCTTGTTTGGCAGGCGCACGCAGGGTTGGTGCGGCACTGACGCTGCAATGACACCGCCACTGCAGAAGCAATCCACCTCGGTCTCGGATCTACGGGATGACTGGCCGGCGTCTCACCCAGGACCTTCTTTGTGGCCTCCTTGTTGGTCCCTATGATGTGCTGAGTCAGCTTCGTGAACTCTGTGTCCAGCGTCTGGAAGCAGGACCTCTGCTGGCGGCACTTGTTGCAGAACGCGATGCTGTGGTTGTAGATGATGTCATCGTGCTGGCCGATGCCCTGGTCCAGACCCTGGGGGGGAGTGGGGCGACGATGCAGAAGGGGTTGTGATGATGGGGAGCGACCGCGCTTGAAAGGAGCACGCTAGGCTACGCCGGACGGGCTTGACGAGTGGACAGGTGCAGGTGCTGACGGCTGTTTGGCTCACAACAGTGCCCACCACAGCGTTTGAGCATGAGAGGTGCTCAAGTGCAGACGGGCACGCACGCACATGCGCATGCACATGCACAACTGATGTGAAACAAAGCAACCTTGTGCCTAAGCGCACCAGGATTGGGGTAGAACACTACATTTACATAGGTTTTTCTCCTCCATGCCTGCGCATATAAC